AAATTACATTTTTAATATAATAAAAATTCAAATATATTAACTTTTTTTTTTTATATATTTAAACTATATTATTTTATAAATAGTAAAATTAATAAAAGAAAGACCCTCAAATCTTTTGGCCTCACTGACTCTGTAATTGAAGGTATGGATAGTAAAAACAGGTAGGGATATTAAAACGTTATTGGAACTATTCTATGTATTTATTTTAAAACTGGAAAACCATATATGATTCCAGCCACATTGCACATTATGCTATATTAATTTGGAGACCGAAAAACAGATACATATTTGACAATATATGGACCCTGATATGTGTGTGTGTGTGTTTCTCCACGGCTTCATGCACTTTGACATCTGAATGTGGAATGTGTTTATTAGAACATTATTTTGAATGTTTATGTTTGTGTCTGCTTGAAAAAATGCAGTTCTAAGGAATAATTCAGCGCATCACAGATTTACAACAATAGATACACTCCAAAGATTAATTATTGTTTCCATCTTTGTGCAATAACTTACAAAGACTGTATCGTTGACCATTGATAAACACTGTAAGGGTTTGACTTTGTTTTGAGCAACACCTGCCAAAGAACCTAGCAAGACAGCATCCCCCTTGTATTGTTTAAAGTGATTTTTCTTTGCAAGTATTCATGTCCGGCGTTGTTGTGTCCTCCCTAAAACTTTGCGACAAGGCAAAACACTTGTGCATTCCGACTATGGATATTGACCTTGGCAGTTTGCAGCTACAATGCAGGGGAGTAACACCGCCACTCCCAGCCTCCCTACCCCAAAACACACACAAACATAAACACAAGCCACACACACACATCCACAAATACAACACAAACACAAATACAGCTGCAAGACATCTTGATAATATCGGACAGCTGATCCATTCCAGGTCAGTGTTCATCCCAGATTGCACTCCATGCCCTCGTCTCTCTCCTCGCTTGTGTCCGTGTCCCTGGTGACACAGTAACCATCCTACAGGTCAGATGCACAAACTTAACTGTATATGATTATCTAAACAAAAAGCTTCATCTTCGCTAACCAACAGATTTGTCTCGTACATTCCAATGTATTGTATGTGTCAGGCTTCCTCTTTTAAAAACCCTTCCTTAAGCAGCATTTAAAACCACACCATCTGTCTATATTAAACAGTTTGTCAGTTATAAAGTCTTTCATGAGGTGTTGTTTTTATTAAGTGACTCCACAATGTTTGACCCAAGAGCTGCCTAACTGGATAATTTGTATTCGAGCCAGTAAATCATAGATTTTTTGTCTTTTGTTATTCTAATTCATCTCTTTATTTTTTACCAGGGTCGTCACTTAAAATGTTTTCCCATCCTAAAGTTTAGTTCTGGCCTAGAACTGCCATTTGTTAGTTGCCACGTTGCAGAGAGTGTGTCGTTGAAGTACATGTAAGATTAAGTGTGTGTGCAGTTGCTGTTATCTGTCATCTTGCGAGTTGGGTGACCGCCTCTCCTTTTTGTTTGTGAGTGTGTGTGTATCTCAGTATTAGTGTGTGTGTGTGTGTATGTGTGTGTGTGTGTGTGTGCGTTTGCGTGTGCGTGCGTGCTTGAGCTCTAAGTCGGATGTGGACATGTGAGTGTCCAGTTTCCAGTAACCTTTGACCCTATATAGCTAATTAGTGATATCCCCACTAACACCAGAGAACTTCACATTCTGCGGCATTTGTTCAATCATTTTTCATTTACAAAGACTGCTGCTCACCTGTTGCTGTCTGTCACCGTTACACCAGAGGAACTGAAAGACAAATGAAATGCAGTTAGTGATTACAAAAGATTTTTGAAATAAATATCATATATGGTCATTATTTCCATATATTATAAAATGCATGCCAAATGTGTATTTTGTAATGCCTGTGCTGTCATTTTTATTTATATAATTAAGATATTTTATTTATATTATTAATAATAATTTACTTAAAAATATCAGCTCAGGCATTACAAAATGTGTGTGTGTGTATGTATGTATATGTGTGTGTGTATGATTTTTTTATTATTTATTTTTGTTATATTGTTATTAATTGTTTTCAGTTATTTTAAGCAAAAATAATTTAAAGATTTTTATAGTTGATTGCTCAGTGCATGTATATTAAAAACCAGCAGTATATGGTTATGGCCATACAGTCTGTTTTTTATTATTATTATTAACTACAACATTAATATTAATAATAATTGCAGTATTTGATTGGTCATCTATTTTTCTTCTTTTATGCATTTTTTTTTTCACTGTAGATATTTGATTATGAATGTTCCAAAATATGACTAATAATAATATTATATTAAAATGTAAAAATGTATACATGTAAATATGATTTCTGCAGGTCACGCCTGAGTTTCTTTTATAATGTTATTGAATACAGTATATGAACTGTTCTGTATTAGGCTGTCTGTTTACCTTTCTGGGTTTTAGTGTCAGGGAAGATGAGAGAGCTCAGTCTGAGATGTGGAAAACTGTGGCTATTTTAAGCTCTTCACATAATGCTGCACCAGGACGGGACAATTAATCTTATATCCCGCTTTTATTTTCTTTTGACCTGCCCACCCATCAGGGAGGAAGAGAGAGAGAGAGACTCACAGTCAGAAAGACTGTTTGGCCCTTTTGCCATATTCTCATACTTTTTATACACCTGCACTGAGCATCTGAAAAGGTTCTTTCAATTACTTCAGTTTAAGATAACAGAAAACAACTCTCTTTGATTTATCACACCTGTAATCTCTGTAAAACCTGATATGCCACTGCAAGAAACAAGATCTGTCCATTCATCTGTCAGGTTAAAAACTATGGCAAGGTTAAAATACCTTTGGTAATTTGCTGTGGTAGAGAGAGAGGAGGGATGCTGTTTGTGAGACACCGGAACTCTGAGGTGTCAGAGGGCAGATCTCTGGAGATTCTCTCTCCTTCTTTGGTGATCTCTAAGCTTGCAATTAGCACGTGGACGTCTCGTTCTTTTTGTAATTTTACACATTCGTTTAATCTGTGCGTTACTATAACTAAGGGCATCTAAGGATGATGGGCACTGACTAACATGTTGAGAGGAGAGCAGATGCCCCGCGTGTGTCTTAGCAATCATCACCTGATTTAAAACCACTCTTGAGTAGCCTTCAGCCGCGCCACTTAGAGCTCGCACAGATCGGGATGTTTTGGCTTGAATTAGTCGGTTGTATTCGAGACGGGTGTGGGGTAGCATTAAAAAAGCAAAACATGGCGTTTGGGGACGCGGAGTATCCATTTCACGTGCCCCGCCGGAGGCGCCAGTGGGCCATTTGAGACGCTTCTTGTGGGATCCCATTAGAGGGCATCGGTGCTGAAAGTTGCACGGACTCTCCCATGATGAGCCATGCGCGATTACTCGTGGGGTCACCACTGTACCATTTTATGAATCCCACTGTTGCAGTGCGCGCACAACCGTTATTGACCCACCATTAAAATCCTCAGTCAAATGCCACCTGACAACTCCAAGGAATTTAGAGCCTGTGCAAGTGATGCTCAGCGTGAACACAAACATTTACGTTTGTCAGCAGTTATAAAATATAAATGTGTTGCTATTTTACTATTCCAACAGATAAAAATAAAATAAAATAAAAATGTTAAAAATAAAAATGCAGAATTAAATTTTAATGTAACGTTTTAATAATAATAATTATTATTATCATCATTAAGTAAAAACGTTTTTTGGAGAAAAAAAAATAGCTAGTTGCTTTAATAATTGAATCTGAATTGGATATACTGAAAAAAGGAAAGCAATTGTTACAGTTTTTCAGTTCTGATGATTAGACATTTCTTTGGAAATAAGAATATAAAATTTACATTTCTTGTCAAAATTACGTTTCTTAACTGAATGAAATGGTGACAAAATGTTTTACTAATAAATACCGAGGAAGAGGCTGACTTGTGCTTTGAAAAACATTAATTTTATCTTTTTTGGAAACATTTACAATTATTGGCATTGACTGTAATACACTTATAGCCTATAATAATATTTTAATTATGCTTATACTATACTATAATATGAACTAATAAACCAAATTATTCAGATTAACCAAAAAAAATGCACTGTGAATTAAAACATACAATTTTTACCATAGATTTTTCTGTTCCTGTATGCATGCGTGATAAATGACAACATTAAACTATACCACTGCAAAAATGGTGCACAACTGTGATTATCTGAGCAGGTTTAGTGTTTGCTTCCACCAAGCGTGCGGGGGTTACGCCCCTGAGCGCGAGAGATAAATGGTAAGATCCTTTAGCTCATGAGTTACAAGTTACGCTCATCCTCAACTCGCGCATGACACGTTTCTGCTCCGACGGCAGTCGCGTTATCGGGCAAAATGTTTTACTAATACTGAGAAAGCAAGACGCTGAATTGTGCTCTGAAAAACATTAATTTTATCTTTTATTGGAAACATTTACAATGCTTTTAACTGTTTTTTAACAAAGTATTCTGTTTAATGAATGTATGCTTATTGTGGTTTTATTGCCATTGAATAACTGTAATACACTCATAGACTATAATATGCTAAATAATACTTTTATTAAAAATTAAGTACATTTTTAATTATGCTTACGCTATAATATAATAGAATATAAATACACCAAATTATTCAGAATAGCCTAAAAATGCACCGTGAATTAAATCCTACAATTTCTACCAAAGATTTTTCTGTTTCTGTATACATGCATGCGTGATAAATTACAACATAACACTATATCACTGCAAAACTGGTGCACCATTGTGATTATCTGTGCAGGTTTAGTGTTTGCTTCCACTATGGAGTATGTTGCCCCGTGCGGGGGTTACGCCCCTGAGCGCAAGAGATAAATGGTAAGATCCTTTAGCTCGTGAGTTAAGTTACGCTCATACTCAGCTCGCGCATGACGCGTTTCTGCTCCGAAGGAAGTCGCGTTATCTCCAGGTCCTTTTAGAGAGCCACAAACTCGCATCTCCTCAGACTTAACTTTTCTCCACTACATCCTCGTCTCCAGCTCAACATGTCCACCGGCTCCATTAGCGATGTGGATGAATTTCACGAGTCTGAGCTGCTGGATGGTCTTTTGAAATTCGGTTCCGGTAAAGATCCGGGGACATCAAACGAGAGCACGGAGGACAGTTCCAACTGCGAAGGGGCATCGGTTGCAGAATGTACGGGGAAAAGGCGCAAACCAGCCGCCATGCGTAAATCGGCGCCTAATGGTGTGGCCCAAGAGGGCAAGCAGGTCCAGAGGAACGCGGCGAACGCGCGCGAGAGGGCGAGGATGCGCGTGCTCAGCAAAGCCTTCTCCCGGTTGAAGACGACGTTACCGTGGGTTCCGCCGGACACCAAACTCTCCAAGCTGGACACGCTACGGCTGGCCTCCAGCTACATTGCGCACCTGCGACAGATACTCGCCAACGACAAATATGAGAATGGCTACATACATCCAGTCAACCTGGTGAGAGACTTTTTAAAACTTTTTGAAAAAGAAAATAAATCCCAGTAAGCAAGATGCGCTTATGGCCTATACAGTATGTAGGGCTACAATGTAACATGTTTTCGTTATTATAACAAAGTTTGTTTCAAGCCATTTAACAGCAATTCCTGTCATTTCTAACCGTTTTTATGAGTTTTCAAAATTTCAGTTCGATTTTCAGTGTTCCAAAAGTTGACTTTGGCAACACTTTGAATTTACTTACAAAATGGAGGCAAAAATTAAACTTATTTTAAGTTTTAGTGCGTTGAGTTGTTTTGAATTGATTTCAAACGAATTGGAGATAGAAATGTTATTTTAGAGTATAAATGGTAAAATATCAGGCCTTAAATACTTGAGACATGTTCTGGAAATTATTAGTTCTTCAGAAATGATATGCTACTTGACCGATACCATCTTGCTTTTTATTTCAATCGTTTATAGACGGTAGTACTTGACAAAATGGTATGGAATATCCTCAGTGTATACTTTATGTAGGTTATGTTTACCATATATACATATTAAAAGCAAACATAAGTTATCAGTTCACAGTTATTTGGTGTGTTTACCGATTTTAATTGAACTTTCATTCATATTTTTTTCCACAGACGTGGCCATTTATGGTGGCGGGCAAACCAGAAAATGAACTTAAAGAAATGCTGAATTCTACACGTTTATGTGGGACTACAGCTTCCTGAGACACCAGATGGACTTAAAACATGGACCTATTTTAAATATTTTAATTAAAAAAAGAATAACACGTCATCTCCTATCTAAACACACGAGTGGGAATACCTGGGGACAACAGCCTCACTCGCCTTCCTGTAAAGAGAAATTGATATCTATTTAAATATTCACACGTGGGCCTTGCTGGTTCAAGGCAACAGTGTGTGATTTTATGCAACTGTTTTTATAAAGATTCCGTCCTCACTTTTTTATTAAAAACACGAGAAATCATTATACATATGGCTTTGGTGACGCAGGGTCATAACATCACGCGCCTTTGCTGTTGGCATTAAAATAATTGTAAATAAATGTGTTATAGTTTCAAGTGGTGCAAGTTACCTCTTTGATCTAGCATGGACAGAGTTCATGTTTATTCACTTTGCTTTGACCTGTGTGAACCTTGTTATCATTTCGCCCCACCTTTTTCTCTCAAGATCTCTGGCGAGAAGACATGTCACCCTGTCACCCTGCCTGCAGAAGATAACATGATTAATTCCCTTATTCGGAAGAAACGTAAAGCTTCTCTTTATCATGATATATCTGTCATCAGATAAGCATGGCTTTAACCGTTTTGGAAATCAGAGCGAGCGCTTCTAAGTTAACAGAGATCGAGAAACTTCTCCAAAAACTCTTTTAATTCCCCCGACTCTGAATTTTTTTAAAGTAGTCAGGCCAGAAAAAATGTAGGCTGACGTGGTCCGTGTTTAAGGTCAGTTGTTTTTAGACCAGTAAATCGCGCGGCTCTTAATCTCGCTGTGCAGCCGTTGTTTAATTTCGCGCGGGGTTGTGACCGTTATGTTTATAGCGCGCGGACAGATATTTATGCGTCACTCCTCCGAGGGGCGCGAGAGCACGAGTTACCGCTGATGGGACGCCCGATGTCACAGCCACGCCGCGGCCTCACATCTTAGAAAAACACTGTCCCCGCGTAAATAACTGTATTCCACATTAAACTAGTCATCACTGTTCTCTCGCAGAATTACAGAAATCCGCGCGGAGACACAAAACGGTGTGGTGGCGCAAGACAATAACAAGCCCGCCGCCATCATCCATCACGCGCTGTTATTGTAAGGAGAGGCTGAGGGGTGATCTGTGCGAGACTGAGAGCTAGGGAGGCTTACGCACACACACACACGCACACGCACGCACGCTTGGGCAATAAAGCAGATCTAAACATTGTGAAATCTTCTGATAAGTCTTAAAATGAGATATGATTATAGGAATACTTTTTATACTCACACATTTTAGGTCTAAGGGTTTTAAATTAGATGTTTCGGTTAGGCTATTTAGTTATAGGCTTATGCTTTGTTTTTTATTGTTATTATGTTTTGACTATTTAAAAAAAAAAATCAACAATAATATTCGGCATTATTTGAGCATATGTTAAAGGCAAATCCAGACTGGCGTAAAACATTTATTAGCCAATTAAAATAGAGCTGTCATGACGCCAATTTGAAGACCTATCCTGAAGTCTAATTGGGTTCCCTCGGAAATATCCTTTTGCTTTTTAGCATGGTGGTTTATGATTAATGCGATTTTGCGTTCAATTTCACTTAAATCACACAAGGTTATATATCAAACGCAAAAAATATAAGTTGCTAGCAATTCGTCAAGAAAATATATTCAATAGTGGTTATTTGTAGTCCGTTTAGCTACTTGATAGGCGCTTTTAAAATTGAAGTATGGTTGACTGTGCAATTTATATTGTAAAACAAAACAAAAATATTTTCAAGTGTTAGCACAAAAAAAATATTTCTAGTTTTTGGATTATTTAGTTAATACATTATTATTGTTCATCATTCATAATATCATCGTATCCATTGGCAAATACAGGTGTAGGCTAGTTGTAGCCTGTTATTTAAGCACCAATTGGAGCAGTAACTTGAAGATTTCTGTGACAATCGAGATTTCTATTTTTCATATCGCCTATATTTTTAGAGACTTTTTTTACACCATGCTTTTATTTATTTAATTTTAGCATTATTTTTATAAAATTGTCTAAATCTGCTGAGACAATTAAAGTGGCATTTTCTGTGTAGACTTTTAAAGGCACTCCAGAGGATGTAAAAATATTTATATCTCACGCTAATAAGTTTTATGGGACATCTTTTTCTCACGGACGCTGGAAAGCTCCCCTCACCTCCCCTCAGAGAATAAGCCAGAAAGATCTTTTCTTTCGCCCCTTCTTCGTCTTCTTTTTCTGTCATCATCTGAAAATCAAAAGAAAGCATTTTTTCTTAATTTGAAGGAGTTCCTCTTATTTCCTGTGCGAAGCTCACGTTCATCGTATATATATATATATATATATCAGCACGGATAAGTCGAGGCGCTCCATCACCTCAAGACCACCGCAGAGAACACTGAACACTGGCCGGGTCAGCTGCGCTCTGCCCGGCAGCGGGAGGAGGAGGAGGAGGCAGGGAGTGTCGGTCATTAGAAAGATAAAGTGGACCCTGGATTCCCACGCGCTGCGATAATATGGCTAATTGTTTTGTTGGACGGCTGCCCAAAACTCTCTTTTATAGTCCTAAAGTCTCTTGAGAGGGAACATTGGCATGTGGTCTAGATGCACATAACTAAAAACTTCCAGATAAGAGTGCGTGTCAGCTAAAGTTTATGATGAGTCATAGACGTTGGTTTTAAACGGCTAATGTTAAACCGCTCGTGTCTGAATTGCATCTGAGCTGGTATGTCACCCTTCACTCAAAACTCCGTTCCTTTAATAGTTTTTCCAGTGGCTTAACAACTTTATTTATACTTGACATGAAACAACACAGAAACTAAATGACCAAGACCCTTTAAAATGTTCTTTTGTGAGTGCGGTGGGAGAAATGCATCAATCATGACACAATAGGTTTCAGCACCTAGACATTGAACAGCGACTGAAGAGCTCAATCAGTCTCACTACTGTAGGTTACATCAGAGACGTGAAAACCAACACTGCAGCATTATGTATTCATTTTGCAGGCTGGATTAGGACCAAGTGCACCGCAGAGTAACGAAGGCACAAATGTGACCCTGGATCACAAAACCAGTCACAAGGGTCAATTTTTCAAAATTGAGATTTGTACATCATCTGAAAGCTGAAAAATAAGCTTTCCATTGATGTATGGTTTGTTAGGATAGATAGGACAATATTTGGCCGAGATACAACTATTTGAAAATCTGGAATCTGAGGGTGCAAAAAAATCTAAATATTGAGAAAATCGCCTTTAAAGTTGTCCAAATTAAGTTCTTAGCAATGCATATTACTAATAAAAAATGAAGTTGTAATATATTTACAGTAGGAAATTTACAAAATATATTCATGGAACATGATCTTTACTTAATATCCTTATGATTTTTGGCATAAAAGAAAAATCAACAATTTTGACCCATACAATGTATTTTTGGCTATTGCTACAAATATACCCCAGCGACTTAAGACTGGTTTTGTGGTCCAGGGTCACAAATACTTACAAATGTAAGAGTTTGCTTCACTGTAGGTATGCTGGTGCAAGAGAAGCCTATAGCATATACTAAAAAAATTCAACCAACTAAAACGGAAAAGCTTTTAAAATAAGACGTTTAATTGTCCTACATTTTAAGTAAATCCAAACTAACAACCTGCAGTAATGTGTTGATTGGCACTTTTTGGACCACTTTGAATTATTACTGATGAAGAAGTTTATGACGTATAATATCCTGTTTTTTTTTTTCTCCATTATTATCTCTAATGTTAGTGGTGTTTGAATTCATGGGGATCACTAATTAATTAATTAATATTACCTATTAATGACTATTAATTATTAGCAAACACTTCTTACATAATATTGGGATTATTTTTGGAGTGACTGTATATTACACTGTTTAAAAAAAGTTGTTAATAATACAGTGATAATTGGAGTACTTTTACAAAAGAAATTAAGTGTTACTTGCTGCTTCTTTGTAATTATTTGTAAAAATTACTAGCAATTTCTGAGACAAAACGGTTTCAAAGTAAATCCTACATCACTTTTTTAATATAATTATTTTTTTTGTCATTAACTTTAATCATGTATTTTCGTTCTTAACTTGTATTTTAACTTTTTTTTTTCTTTTTTTATCCTTACTGCAATGTGTCGTGAAACGTTCAGTGCTGGACCCACTTTCATGCAGAAATGCAATATTTAAACTGAAGGTCGACCATGTCCTGCAGAGGGAGCTATAATACAGTTGTTCACAGTACAACTAAATTGTGTCACCAAGAGTTCAAGAAAATCGCCATTGGGTGGCAGTAAGACTGCAGACAGTCAACTACAGTATGATCTCTTATTTCTTTTAGCTTGGCTTTCCATGGGAATCGTGCATATCGGCTATGAAATTAATAATTAAAAAAAAACTAAGATAAAGCTGTAAAGTCACACTCCAAAAAATTGCAGAAATGCAATATTTAAACTGAAGGTCGACCATGTCCTGCAGAGGGAGCTATAATACAGTTGTTCACAGTACAACTAAATTGTGTCACCAAGAGTTCAAGAAAATCGCCATTGGGTGGCAGTAAGACTGCAGACAGTCAACTACAGTATGATCTCTTATTTCTTTTAGCTTGGCTTTCCATGGGAATCGTGCATGTATGCGTATCTGCATATCGGCTATGAAATTAATAATAAAAAAAAAACTAAGATAAAGCTGTAAAGTCACACTCCAAAAAATAATGAGTACATGCTTGTAGAAGTCCCAAGTCTAGTCCCACAGCTGAGTCTGTATATGTAATGTGTTAGTAATGCATTTGTGTGTGCCTGTGTCTGGTAAATCAAGGCTAAACTACTTCCATTTGAGTGAAATTGACCAGCTTCTCAACTGCCCACCATATGCACAGACTCAAGAGCTTTACATTCAACCCAGAAGCCTACTGCACATTAAAAACACACAAAGACTGTCCTTCATCTCATAAGTATTTCATTAGAAAGTGTATTTTAAATTGAAGTAAATGTGTGTGTGTCTGTGTATTTTGACTCATTTGGATAAGTGTGCAGCCAGGGGTGGATCATAGTGAAGTCTTGTAAACTCTGCCATGATGAAAGTGCAGCGAATAAATTGCTCAAAGTGAGCGTGTGTACAGGGTGTGAAATGTTTGTCCAGGTGGGGGTGATTACTGATTGAGTGGTGCGGTAGAAGAGTAATTCACTGCGAATCCTGTTCTTTGAGAATAAGCAGGTGTTTTTAAATGTATGAAATATTTTTGAGGGAATATTATGGGTTCAATACAATTTAAGTTCAGCTGACAGCCTTTGTGGCATAATATTGATTACCACAAAAGTTGTTTTGACTCGTCCCACATTGTCTTTAAAAATACACAAATTTGAGGTTACAGTGAGGAACTTGAAAATAAAAGTGAATGAGGGCTTTATAAATTTTATAAAATTGCTTACATTAATTTTTCTGTGCATTATTTGAGGTGTCAAGTTGTTCTCATAAACACACTTGGTTTAAATCTCAATTAAATACACATCTTTTTAGCCAAGCATTCACATAATGCTTCTCATAAACCTACTACATTTATATCTGATCAAATAGTTCTTCAGCTGTTGCCTTCTTGTTTCTACCTCAGGATCTTCATTAACTGAATACATGATGTTTACAAACCACATATATGCATTATTGTACAGCTGTATATTATGGACATTACTTTGACACACTCATCTCTTAATGATGACAGAATACTTCCTTAAACATGCATCAAAAAATCATTTTGAAAGTGATTCCAATGATATCGTTCCGCTGCATTGTTATAGTTGTGGTGTGGATTCTGCTGTTCCTTTAAACTTAGAAAAAAAATCTAAGAGTATATCTTTATCGTTATCATTTTAGTTATTGTCTTGGTGCCAACTGGCCTGAACCCAGAATATTCCTTTAAATGCTTGTTTGTCTTTCTCATTTCTCTCTGTCCAGTCTGCCTGCCTACAACGTTTGTACAAATGACTTTATCCAGCACTATAGCAACCACTGCTGTTTCTGCACCCACTTTCTTTAACTGAAGCTCAGCTGTGTGTGTGTGCATATGTTACGATGTGTGCTGCTCTCTGCCCAAGCGCACACCTCCCTGATAGCCACACGGATCCAATTAAAGCTGGAATTCCCAACCTAAAGACTGGAATCATTCATGTCTCCACCTCCGTGATATTCCAGGGTGTCCCCAATCATGTGCCCTGTGTTTGTACGTGTGCATAGAAGCATCAAGTCTGCATGTGTTTGAGAGTACTTTTGCATAAGCATGCAAACGTGTGTGTGTGAGGGGAATTCTGAAGATAATTGAGAGCGGGTGAGGTTCCCACTCTCCAGCAATGAACGGACTGTGTTTGGGCTGAGACAGGGAGAATGTCTGATTTTAGCGTTCCTTTAAACAAAAGTGAACAGTGCTCTCATTCAAAACAGATGGTGAAGGTCAAATCGAGGAAACAGTGACAGGAGTGAGTGAGGGAGAAAGAGCGACAGACAGATGGAGTGAGAGAGACAGAGAGGGAGGAGGACAATAGAGAGACAGATCGAAGAAGAGGTAGAGGGGAAGTGAGGCGAGGTACTAAGGAAAGGAGAAAATGAGTGAAAAATAGTAGTGAAAAATAAACTCAGCTGGACTTTCTGATCCTTTGTGGGATGGGAATGTTTATCCACTGTACCTGGATAAATGAGAGAGATATAACCCTGATTAGTCAATCACTTAACTAATCACAAGGTTAAAATCATGCTTAATTTTTTATTTTATATAAATATTTTTAGAATATATTTATTTTAATTTATATTGTAGCTATAGGCTTATATGTTGCCTTGGTAATATTTAGTATTGATGTTTGTATACATTGTGCAACATGACTTTTTACTAACTAAACTATCATTATTAGTTCCTCGATTGAGGTGAGGTACTAAGGAAAAGAGAAAAAATTAGTGGAAAAATAGTAGTGAAAATAAACTCAGCTGGACTTTCTGATCCTTTGTGGGATGGGAATGTTTATCCACTGTACCTGGATAAATGAGAGAGATATAACCCTGATTAGTCAATCACTTAACTAATCACAAGTTTAAAATAATGCTTAATGTTTTATTTTATATTTATAATACATTTTTAGAATATTTATTTTAATTTATATTGTAGCCATACGCTTTCATGTTGGCTTGGTAGCCTATACGTAGTAATGATGTTTGTATGCATTGTAAATGATGCAACATGACTTTATACTAACTAAACTATCATTATTA